TGCAACACAATATTCAACCTTTGAATGTTGAGTCGAAACTCATTGCAAACACTGACATGATTCAGAGATGCTCCTCTGACCTATCTAAATTATTATTGGCCATTCATTTGGGTGACAACATTGGCTAAACAACATTGCAACTCTCTCATCAAGAAACTCAGTTATTATTCAACCATGTGATAACTTTATACAAACCAGAACAACTACTATCTTGGGATATCTTAAATTTATACGAAATCTTGAATCTATGTAAACCCTCTATCATCTCTTTGACTGATGAATTAATATTTGTTGTATACGTGCCTATACTAGATAACAAAGGATATGTCTCTTTTAACCTACTAACTATTGTCTATAACCAACATCTTGTTACATTCCCCACTAACAGCACTATCAAATTTATTTAGAATACTTTTGTAAAGAACTTATATCTATAAGCAATAAAGCCAAGCTTTGCACTTCCATTATAGACTAGCAATGTCACATTAATACCATCTTGCTCTTATCTTACTTTACATAAATACACCAGAACGATTCAAATTGTGCTTCAGACACTGATCAAGATTTACATCTCAAAGATACCTGCACTAATAAAACAAGAACTATTTCAAAAAGTTCTCACTTAATTATATCCCGTGACTCACTTGTTAATCATCAAATTTCAAGGTTTGATGTTAACTATTCCGTTGAAGTAAAAATACCCACTCGAGTTCATAATCTTACTTTCCATACTGACGAAAAGAAAAATTAACATAACATCTTATTTAGATCAACACTTAGAAATTATCCACAACAAATTAGGGACCCTACATTATTATCCTTATGGTTCCTCGATAATTTATACAATTGTTATCGTTATACTTCTTACGTTTACCATATTTTATGTAAAATATCGATATGTTTTAGATACTGAAATGAATGTACACCATGAATCATCAATTCCACTTCATAATATTATACAATGATTGTAAACCTTCACCTATACAGAGTTGGAGACCCATTATTTCATGTAATGGAGCAATTATGGTATCACCCTCGTATATTTAGTAAACATCTTATCATTCTTGTATATTCTCGGTGTATACTTTTCTTATGATTTCCTATTGATTATGATGTCAATGATATCTGTGTATGCTTTCTCATATTAATAAGTAAATGTTCTTGTGAACTTTTCCATTATACCAAATTCCTTCAAGATACCAATTTATTATAAATACGCATATTGTTAGAGATAAGATTATACGTGGCTACACAACCTTCAGCATCTTAATAAATAATTTTTGAAGTGGTTTGTCTCTTATTTTATTGAATTTATATGGTAACTGAATAGAGGAAAAGAGGTACCAATAATCCAGTTGAAATAAAAGTTGGGTTTGCAAAAATTCCCATAAAGCTGAAAATTGTTACTTATAGACCTTGAATACACCATTATGAATAATATATCAAAACTCTTTATATATCCTTGGAGCGGAGCCTTAGCTTATGGTCTATGGACTGTCAAGTAGTCTTCTGCTCGTATGCGGCATATACTGTCTGCATGCCATCGACCGTTCAATATAGACATATATGTCGAAGCATTAAGGTATGTGACTTATACTAAAGTACATACCACTTATACAGTAGTGTGTTAAAAAAAGTATCAGTAATTTTCCTAAAAATGCTGTTTATGTGTCTTTCGATCTATAGAATCTAAGACACTGCTGTGGCTCATACGCGGCATGTTTTATATATATATATTTATTATCTTCTGGCCTCCGAAAATACTGAACTGCAACGTCGCATTAGCGCCTAAGGTGGTTAAGCAAGTAGTGGCGAAATGATATGGAAAATAGAAGAGTAGCGTCACTCCGTCGTTGAAACAGTTTTTGGCGAGGTGTCTGAAATTACATTGTGGTATACCAAATCCTACATGCAGTTAAACTGTGATGTCTGTGATATAGCAGCTAGTCAGGAGGAAGGTAAACATCCAGGAATGAAGGTCACCTGAATTTAGTTGACCGCAAAACACCGGATTGTTTTACGTGTTGCAAAACTAGCAGGAAATGGGGTGCTAATATTTCGATGCTCCGCTAATGATGTAAAGGCGACAATTGTTATTCTAACATATTTGGAATTTGAGACATCGTCGCTTAAGTTGTAACACCACTGAACGCAAAGAATAACTTATATGTATTTGCTTAAAAAAGCCACCGTGAATGCCGGAATGTCATCAGTAGGTACTATTAGCTTATGAGGTTTCATTTGCGACTAGACAAACATGGAGGATTATAAGATCATTCGATAGCGACTCCAAAGGCCCACCGTTCTTTTATGCTCTCCTAAAAAGTTGTTAATTTAAAGTTACATCGTGCTGGAACTCTTTATTGAACAACTAATTTTTTTTGATTCATGACTGGGTAGTACCAAAAAGAAGAAAATACGATACAAATTTGTTATTTAGTTTTGCATTCTACGTCAATGATTATTGCGAAACATTTCCAAAGTAAATCGTTCAAGTATATTGCGAGAAAATAGATGTGATGTTCCATTTCTTTATTTGATTTTATAATCCGCAGTCTACATTATTCATGTTCCCTGAAAAATAAGTACGAACATACAAAAAAAAGTGATTGTTTTCATCTACACAGAAAAAGCCTTTAGGATGTAAGCACACAGTTTGGAAAATCTGCTTTCTTTTCTGGTTACTAAGTTTAGCGCTCTTACACTCATTTTCAAACTTGTGTCCAAACAATAATCCATTCCAACCTCTGTTAGAATCAGTATAGTAGTTACTGATATTGCACAATGTCAAGGAAACCAGAACGACAGGTGGGTTATCGCCAATGGGTGGAATGCTAAAGCACTCTATTTTTTAAGCCTATTTTCCAGAAAATGCTATTTATCATATATCGTCTAGACAGAAAAAATAGTAATACATATGTATAAACTCAATTACTCCATGACATGCCAAACTAGGCATTACTCTGTTGAAATCAATAAAATTAAAAGTAGGGTACCCACTCAGGTGAACCATCCGCCTGTAACCTTTCTTCCCTTTATTTGGATATCTCGGTCGTCTCCAGGCAGTAAATCATAATCAAAAAAACCTATTGTATAGCGGCATGTGTGTGGGTGTATCTATCCAGTTGAAGGGTGGATAACCAACTGTCTCTACCCACACTCCGCCGATACACGACGCGAATTCGTACCTAAAATCTCCAAGCGTTTGAGAAGCTTCATTCCATCCAGGGCCTTTGATTTCTTGCCTTTCGTCTTTCACGCATACGCAATTGGTCTATCAAATGCTCAAGTTGATGATTCCATTATTACCAACGGCAGATAATGATATATCAATTTTCCTATTTTTAAATCTTCAGAACACAACACTTAAAAATACAAAATATACACACAACTTAAAGTGTTTTGAAGGGTGCTCCATGTAAAATTTCTCTAAGAATTCTAGTTGCTACGCTCAAAACTCTTATTGTTAATGTAACCTGTTTATCGCATGTCCTTTCGGTAAACATTACCGTGTATGTTTAGCTTTTGCTTAGAGTGATCCATCAGACGGCGGTAAAGGACATGAAAGAAATAAACCGGCAATAAATTATACTCGATAAAAGAGGGACGCACTACCTAAAGACAGGTCGCAGGACGACCTGTTTCTGCTCCCCTGATTACTCATTGCCGACGGTCGGTTTAATAACTGGTCAGTCAGATTCCCAAACAGAGATTGAGAGATGAATTTTTTGGTATTCAATAGACAAGCCAAAAATTGAAATGATTATGGAGTATATATATACAGGTATATATATATATATATATATACCTATATTATATATCGAAGCAGTCGCGCAGGCAGAGGCCTAAATACCGAAACACCGAAAAGCTTCCTCTTGTAGATTGCTCCACAGTGTCAAAACTCTCGGGGCAAAGGGGCGGTCGTATCGCCCAGTTCTGGATGAACGAAGCTCGGCACGGTTAGGATGGGACGTCAAAGTTAGGCGGGTCTATCTGGCAGGCAAATCGCGCGGCGGCATCATGGAAGAGAGCTCCGAGGAGCAAAGCCCGTTGGTGTAGCGGCACAAAAGAACTAGATCGCCGAAGGCCCGCCGGTGGATAGTGTATAGTATAAAATAATAAAAACAAACAGTCAATTCCATGCAATTAAAACAAAAATAATATCCTTTAAGATACAAACAAGTAATAGATCAATCTAGAATTCTCAAAAAAAAAAACAGTTTCTGTATAAATCCATAAACAAAAGTAACAAATAAACAAACGTATTTGTATAAAAATCTAATACGGGCCACGTAGCAGTCTGAAAAAATGACATATTGTTATTCAAAATAGATTTCCAGTATACAGTGAAAATGTTTCTGTACTATACGAGTACACTGAAAAAAAAACTCCGTCCTATTTCCCCAAGTTGGGAATATCATTTCAAAGCGAAGTCTCACTAACTAAGTTTTCCAAAAAGCTTTGTGAAAACAGTTTAGCTACAGTTTGCTTGCAGTGACAAAAAGCACAACAGGAAAATGAACAAAAAATCAGGCCGAATTTTTTTCTTAGGATGCGATTGGAGGTAATAATAGCCAGCCTTCTAAATTCTAAATCCACTGAACGTAAGAGTCAAATAGAAAAATACGACTTTTTTTCTAGCTACTATCAATCTCTTTGTGAGCCAAAAACACCAAAATACAGCGTTTGTCTTTGAGGTGCCGCACCGCCGACTGCATTAGCGTACCCGCTGGTTGTTCCACTTCCACATTCATAAGAAAAAATTACATGGATTACTCTTAATGCCCGTTGAAATTTAAAATATTATTTTTTCTCGAATGTCTGGTAGCATTTTATGACTAAAAACAGGATAATTTCTTTAATTAATGCATCAAGTTGTAAATTTAATCAAGAAGGACTTATTCATTTCTTAGTTTGATGAAAAAGGCGCTTGCTCATAGATCCATATTTGAGCATTAACCCGGTCTGGGAGAACCCAGAGATCTCTTCCCTGAATCTACCCACGGCGACCCATGGGATACGGGTGAAGACCATAACGGCGGAGAAGGTGGAGTAGAAGAGATGCTTTGAAACGGTGGATCCGGCGGAGGTGGTAGCCATGCTTCTGGTGAAGAAGTAAAGGGGAAGGTAGGACTCCATAGCTGCAGAGAAAGCACCCTGCCTAAAAGAGAAAACCTTGATTAAAAATCCTGGTCCTTCAGGTTGAGGGTTGGAGCGATGGCCCTGCGATCCATCATCCAGAAAAAAGTTTTTTTATAGCAAAAATTCTCAAACCAGCCTAAGAATCAGACAGCTCAAATAGACGACGTAAACTGGCAATGAAACGGACTTTGCGTTTTGGAACATGGAACATACAGGGGATTTCAACCAAGTATGAGGAGGTATTTAGAGAAATAGACAAGCACGACATAGATATAGTGGCCTTCACAGAAACGAAGAAAAAGGGTAACGGTACAGTGCTTAAAGGAAACTTCATAAATATATACAGTGGTACCAAAAGAAGAGAGAGCTAAATGTGGAGTATCCCTAGCTATAAAGAAAAAATATGAGAACAGCATCAAATCATGGGATCAAATAAACGAGAGAATAGTAACTGTGGACATCGAATTAAAAAGTCACCCTGTCATAGTAATTGCCGTATATGCTCCCAATGACGATGCTTCTGCTGAGACAAAATACAAATTTTATAATACATACATTGACACGGTTGCTTGAGTCAATAAGTAATCGGGAAAAGATTATCCTTATGGGCGATTTAAATGGATGAACGGGCAGTAGACTCAACGACACAATAGTACGATGCAATTAGTCCAAAAAACGGTCTAACGTCAACATCCAAAGTAAAAGTTTCCCTCCAACTCCAAATTGTTCTATACAGTCCACATATTGTTTGGTAAAAGGTTACACCATTTTGAGCGTCGGGTTTCGGATGAGGGGGGGGAGAAGTTTGCTAATAAGTACTTTTTATCAGTTTTTCTTAAATATTTCGAAAAATATGAGGTTTAGCGCAAAAAGTGTTATATACAAAAATCAAAAATAATCTACATTAAATTGCGAACCAAAATGGTCCTATGTATAATTTTGCTAAAGCGGATGGTTCCGGAGTTACGGAAGGTGTAAAATTAGACATTTTTCGTAACTTGTAGACTTTTTGGAAAAATTAAATTATAACTACTATTTAAACAGAAATAAATAAACAATTTTATTAAAGAGTAATGATCAATCGTTTTATAGTCCAAAAGAAGTTCAGAAGCATAAAAGTACTAGGAGCAAGAACCGGTTTAATAAAAGCGCGCCTGCTACTACAAAGCAGTGTAGCCAACCTGTACAAAATAGAACCTTGCCGTTTTTTAACTACGGCCGTCTTAGACATAAAATACAGAGAAGTTAAATAAAATAATAAGACACAATACTAAGTTCTGAAAAAATACTTTTAAAAGAGGTCAGGGTTTGACAACGACGAACGAACAAAAAAAACGGAAAAAAACAAACATTATTTTAAATATAATTTTGAAGCAGTTTAAATCTTATAATATGATAAAGGTGTGATCGCAGTAAAAGTGGAAGACTCAATCCATGAAAATATCAATCAAAGTGAATTTCTAGCTAACTTCTAAGAACAAAATGGGATTTATTTCTCTACTTACAGTACACTTGCTGACTTATTAATAGTTTTAACAGCGATTGATGAAGCTAAGAAGGGAGTTAATGCTTCTGTTATTGGTGATGATCCGGACTTAACAGTCTTGTTGACTGTCCACGCACCCTCAGAGAACAAATTGAAAATGGTGGTACCAAAAAAAGGCAATCAGCAAGAAAAAGTGTACACTATTTCTGACAATTAGCGAGGTATTGCGGATATGAAAGATGTACTCTTAGCAATATATGCCTTCATAGGATGTGACACGGTATCAGCTATCTAAGAAGGGAAACATAACACCGTATAAGAAAGTGCAAGCCGACAACGTTCTTCGTACAAAACTTCTAGTCTTCAACTACCCCAAAGCTGACCCCAATGCAGTGGCTGACGCTGGAAAGCATTTTCTTCTTGCGATGTTTGGAGCCAAGAACACTGAAAATCTAGACTCTTTTCGCTACCAGTGTTACTTGCAGGCTGTTGCAAAGCAGCCCATACATTCGTTGTTCAAGTTGGCTGCACTTCCTCCCACTTCAGCAGCTTCCAGGCAGCATGCATTTAGAACCTACCACTAAGTGCAGCAGTGGCTGAATGAGAACAAGAATCCGCTTGAGTGGGGTGGAAAAAGATTGGCGAACACCTGACACCAATTACAACAGCACGTCCTTTAGCTCCGCAGGAGTTACTTTCTCTCATAGTGTGCGCTTGCAAAGACGAATGCGTCCGTAACTGCGAATGCAGAAAGAGTGGTATAAACTGCTCAGGCATGTGCGGTAATTGCTTAGGCCTAGGATATAATAACAGAGACACGAGCATAGAAGAAGATATAGAAGAGGAAGAAGGTGCTATGTTTGACGAGGACTGAATACTTTACATTAATTTAAGGTCGTATTTATAATAAATATATAGAAATATAGTTGCAATATACAATCAAATATTTTTTTGTTTTGTATACACCACTTTTTGCGCTAAACCGCATAGTTTTCGAAATATTCAAAAAAAACTGATAAAAAGTACTTATTTACCAACTTCTACCCCCCTCCCCCCCCCCCAAAGCCGACGCTCCAAGTGGTGTAACTTTTTACCGAACAATATGTGGACCGTATGGAACAATTTGGAACTGGGGGCAATGAATCTTGAATTTTAGAGGCATCCCGGCCACCATAAGGAGCCAGTGCATAGGCCGCTTAAGCGGGCCCTTATGCACCTCTACAATACTTAAATCACAAGCCTTGCCCTTTTAGCGAAGTTGAGAATCGCCTTGAGTCCAAGCTCCTTTACGTCCTGAGGGTCCAAAGTAATGGACCCCAGTATAGTCTGCCTATAGTAGCTCGGAGCTTCACAGCGACACAAAACGTGCGCCGAGGTCTCTTCCTCTACTCCGCAGCGTTCGCACAAGGGATCCTCAGCCACCCCCATCACGTGCAGGTGCCGCCTTAACGTGTTATGGCCAGACAACAGTCCCACCAGCAACCTTAGGTTGGCTCTACCCAGAGATAGGCAGAAGCGTCCATCCTTAGCACTGGCCCTTCAATGAGCTCTCGTGCCTGGCGGAGATGTCTAGAGATACTTCTCCATTTCTGAGAGTGTTGTCTTGCAACCCACGTCTCCATTTTCCTCCTAGCTTTATGCGCGGTTACTCCTAGAGCTAGCTCAGGACCAACGAGCTTGCTGGCTGATCCTGTTTTCGCCAGAGTGTCCGCCGTCTCATTGCCCCTTATCCCAGCGTGCCCCGGTACCCATATTAACGATACCGGATGCCTCGCTGCGAGGCAATCCAGAGCCTCCCTGCCACTGGGGGGAAACTTTTACTTTGGATGTTGAGGTTGAGGTCTAAGTGCACCGTACTAAATTATAGGATGATATGGAGAAAACACAACCAATGACAACAGAGAACGTAGTGAGTTCTGTGAACAAAATACGCTCAAGATTATAAACAGTTGGTTCCGACACAAAGAAATTCATCGCTACACTTGGACTCAACCTACTCGGGGATTGAAATCTATCATCGACTACATCATTGTAAAGCAGCAATCCATATCGTGCGGGTGCTGAGAGGCTTGGAATGTGGATCTGACCTTTACTTTTTACCCTGTAAAGTCTACTTTCCCTATAAGATAAGACCAAATCAAGGAACACCTGAATCCGTATACCATACTGAAACTGATCAAATACATTATAACATGGATAGTCTAAGAGATTATTCAACTAGATTTTTATATCAGTTACGATTAGCCGCAAAATTAGATTCTATCCAAGATGATACTCCTAACGATATGTAGGAACAACTGAAGAGGCAGATTAACGAGGCTGCGAAAGAAGCTTTAGGCATGAAATTAGTTTCAGGAAGATCATCAGGTCATACTGCTTGGTGGACTAAAGATCTTGAACATATTGTGGAAGAAAAAAAGGAGGCATATAGAAGGTGGATTGGAACAAAAAAATGCAACGATAGAGAAAAGTATAACCATATACGACGAAAAGTATTATTAGAAGTGAATAAAGCAAAAAACGATTACTGGGAGGAAGTATGTGAAGAGGTGAATACCTGCGTTGGAAACACGAGAACCAATAAGGCCTGGAAGATTTTAAAAGGTTTAAGGCCCATATCGTCAGTCGTCCCTACAACTGTAGGGTGCCTTTATGGCCTCCTTGATTGTAATAGGTTTCTACTTCTCCGTGTCAGCGCTCTATTTTGAGGTTATGTCACAAACATCTATTTGCACCAAATTGTGCTTGCTTTTGAGTTATATCATGTTTTATCAGCCTGAAATTTCCTACAATTTAAAAAGAAAACATATCTTCACAATAGGAGAGCGCTGACGCTGACACGGGACGGGTGCAATCTGGAAATTTTTGAAGGAAAGAAAGGAGTATGACAATCAAGGAGGCCATAAACGCGCCCTACAATTGTAGGGTCGACTGACGATACGAGCCTAAGAACATAGAATAAGGAGAAAGCCGGTATGGACTGAATAAATGTGGGTACTTGGATAGAACACTATAAAGCGCTTTTGACTGAAGATAGATAAGAATTTCTAGAAAGCTGAATGAAGATGAAACAGAGCTGCCAGACCTTCCTCTAATCTCCACTGGAGACGTTTGCATAGCATTGTCACAAATGAAGAACGGCAAGGCGACAGGGTTAGGAAATATCAGGGCCGAACTACTAAAAGCAGCTCCCAGTAGGATAGTAGACATTCTAGTAAACATATAATAAATGTCTGCGTGGCAGTGATCCGCCTACTGACTGGAAAAGGACTATTATAACATCAGTTTATAAGAGGGAAGCAGGCGTGATTGTAACAACTACCGAGGAGTTAGTGTCATATGTTCGGTAGCTAGATTATATGGGAAGGTGTTAAAGTCTAAGCTTGAAGATCAAGTAAGGGATTCTGAAGAACAGAACGGCTTCCGATTTGGGCGTTCATGTATTGATAGGATCTTTACTTTAAAGAATCTAATTGATAAAAAGGTAGAAAGGGGTAGACCGGAACACTTAACATTCATTGATTTACAAAAGGCCTATGACACTGTCTCATTATGCAAGTTATGGGAATGCATGATTAAATGTGGTGTTCATAGGGTCTATGTAAATGCTGTCAAAAATCTGTATTGTGGGTGTACCAGCATGGTCAAAAGCGGCAGACAACTCTCAGAAGAATTCCCAGTAACCAAAGGATTACGACAAGGCTGCTCACTTGCGCCGACACTTTTCAAGACATATATTGAAACAGTTTTAGTAAACTGGAAGAGGAAATGTTGCCATATGGGAATACCAGTAGGTGAAGATGTCCTATATACCCTTTTACTCGCTGACGACCAGGTCTTGATAGCAGGTGATAGAGATGAGTCGTGTTACATGCCTAGGAAACTGGAAGAAGAGTATGTGAAATGGGGATTGAAAATTAATGTAAAAAAAACGAGTATATGATTGTAAGTGACAGCGATAGAGATGATTTGGATTTTGGAAACCATATCATACAGAATACAACATCATTCAGATATCTGGGTCTAACGTTTACGATGAATGGCAAGAGCAACCAAGACATTTCAAATAAAATAGCACAGGGTAAAATAGCAATTAGACAACTAAATTCTATTCTATGAAGTACTAGAGTGACAAACAAAACAAATAATTGATATTCAAACCTATAGTAGAAAGTATCTGTACCTATGGCTCAAATATGGGAGATGGCGAAAAGAAATAAAGAGAGGTTGATGTCCCTGGAAATGGATTACTGGAGAAGAAGTTGCAGAATTTCCAGACTAGAACATGTTAGAAACGAAAGAATTAGACAAATTATGGGAGTAGACCACAACATTTTAGAAACGATAGAAACAAGAAGATCACTTTGGTCACCTTCAACGTATGGATAACACAAGGTGGCCAAAAAAAGTCTATGAGTGGGTACCACGAGAGCGTCCCAAACATGGTAGACCTCCAAGAAATTGGATGCAAGATGTTGAAGAGTCCATGATATCCAGAGGACTACAAAAGGGAGACTGGACGGACCGAAAGATGTGGCGTTTGAGAAGCGGGAAACGATAGTAGTCGTGAAAAATCCGAATATATATATATATATATATAGTTTGATGAAGAATATTTGGACCGTGAAGTATGCCTACTGCGTTAATAATGCGCCAGGTACTCTATATCATAGGTGGTGTGGAAGTGTGTAGATATTATGCAGAATGCTTTATCAACTTTAAAAACCTCAATACGTAGTGCGTAATGGTCAGTAGTTCTGAGTCCTCTCAATGACCATACCAATTCTAAAACCTCTTCGCGGTTCACTCCCTTATCAACAAATCTGTCGTATAATGGAAATGAGTCGACAGAAGGTGTCGTTAAGTGACACACTTGCCTCGCTATAACTCGTCGACCGAGCGAACTCTAACGCGCTTCTAAGAAATTTAATACAGGATTAGAAGCAGATTTGGAATTTCTTTATTTTAAATATATGGAAGATGTCACTCCTAGATTCCTTTAACATCGGATGAGTAAAATGAATTTGATATGGATGCGGTCTGCAATATTGATGAGAAACCGTTTTCAGCAGGAGATGTAAAAGTCCGCGATCATTGGCACACAACGGGTACTTTGAGTGGGTATGAGTGTCATCTATTTATCAAACAATTATCTGCCCATGGAGATAAGGTAGATATTGTAACACAAAATAAGGAAAAGTATGTTTCATTCTCAAAAAGCTTATATATAATAAAAAAAAAGTTCATAAAAATGAAGTTTATTGATAGTTGTCGCGTTTTGCCGGGATCCTTACAGGCGTTATCAATGTGTTTGACTGATGAGGATTTAATTGAGACTAAAAAGTACTTAACTAATGCAAGGGTGTTCAATTTGAATAGACGGAACGACGTTTCCATACAGTTACATCAGACAACTCATTCATGTTACTATAACACGTCGTCACTTTCACATTTTGAACAAACTTGGGATCGATATGTAGGTGACAAAATTTTGTTCAAGCTTAGATAATTTATGTTAGTTGGAAATATTTTTTTTGCTCCCAAAAAGATGCTATCAACCTTCGATAGGTTTCAAAAAAGCTTCAAAAATGCCCGTTTTTCCAAGTATCAACGACTATTTTGGGAACACTACGAATTTGATTAACCAAAATCATGTATTCCGTAAAGCGAATATGTGTGCCTTTCGAAAATAACACAATTCACAAAAATCACGCGCAACACTTCCGAGATTTCAGGTTATAGCTGCACTAGGGCACAAAAACACGTTTTTCCATAAATCTCAAAAACAGTTCTTTGGATTAACAAATGAGAGTCATTTTCATTTT